TGATTTGTCGGGTGAAAGCTGCAGATCAAAGTAGTCAAACAGATTTCGCTGATTTTTTTCTTTTTTTTTTCTTCGTCTTATCTGCTGTTTTCTTTAGTTTTTGCGTAGTGAAGAAAGAGGATGAAGAAGATGAAGAAAAAGAAGAAAAAGAAAAATAAAACTTGTTCAAATCAGTACTTGAACAAAAAGTTACTTTTTCTTTTTTGTTGACGTTAAATTAGCATATTGTCAGCAGAATTCTGTAAAATTTGAATTGTTGCTTATTTGACTTTTAAATATGCTTATTGCACACTGATTATAAGATCAAGTTTATTTTTTCCAAAAAAAAAAAAAGCAAAGTATAAAATATAGATTTTTGCTATTACTAAGTAGTTCCTTGTTTTTGACATTTCCGGTCACCAAATTTCTGCAGAAAAACAAAATATTTTTGCTTTCGTTATTTACTGATAAACAACTACAATTGGCTTCTTCATTGCTGACTTTATCTCATCGCCTTAACGGATTTGACAGCAATCAAGCGACCTCAGAATCAAAAATACCTCACAGTATTGGCCTTCAAAATTTGTCAGAAGGCAGTCAGTCAGTTTCATCTTTTGCATCAACAACCCTGCAAGTTTCAGCTGCTGTCTAGAAAGTTTCAAGATTTGGTTGTTCATTTTCTATTGGCGATTATAGTTTATTCTATTTAAATAGCAAAACATTTCTTGAACTATGGCTGTCATAGGTTAAGATGCTGTAGATGATAAGTGAAAGTAGTTGAGGTGAGAGAATCTGTTTATTTTTCGCTGTTTGCACTAATACTTTTCAAAACTGTTGTATGGTAGTGGTAAGTTGAACGACAACAATGAAACCCTCTTTTCTAACTTTGTATGCTTTTTTCGCACCTCAATCTTGAGTTTTGTTGAAATAGACGAGAAGGGCAAAAGAAAAGAGTGAAGGAAGACTTCACAACTCAATACATCAACAATTGGATAGGTTGATGATTAGTGACGTGAAAAGAATAAAAATTTTTACTTAACTTTTTTTTAACTGTTTAATGACGATTGATGGATTTGGAAGGCAAATAAACAACAACGTAAAATAGTAGGATAAAATTTATGTAATTGTCATCTTTCCTTATTTGCTTCTTTCCTTCTTCTTCAGCTTACAGTTTGTTGACTTTTTTTTTTCTTTCAAAA